CTACTGCATTTCCATACTGCAATATGGCTAATATACCCTCCCGAGGCTCTTTTCCCAACTCTGCAATCCCAACCTTCTAGATAAGCTTCAGATCTTGGGTCGTTTTAGCATTTGTTAACTAACAGGTCGTTCGCTTCGTGGATTTGAAAAAATTAACGTTTCGATGAAACCTGAATTTTGGAAAACCATGGATATATGAGGGTGTTGGGTACATTATTGACTTGAAAAACAACATTGTTTGTTTCATAGATTTTATGATGAATTTTGTTAAGTATATTTATACATGTGAAGTAAAATCGACATTTATTGTTCTAATTGGTATGAGAAGAGAAAGGAAATAAGAGGAGTAAGTTGGTTGCAACTTGCAATGATGGACTTCAAAGTGCATGATCAATTTCCACCTAAAAATATGAAATTTTCAAGTTCTTTGACCCCATTTATATGGACAATTAAATTTCATGGATCCCACAAATTTGTTACCTCTAATTAGAGGTAGCAATTAGTATCCATATCCATTTAAATCCAATGCATTTGATCCAAATCCAATTGGATTGGTGGATTCATGGATTGATCAGTGGATCCAAAATGACAAATTATAGTTTAGTACTATATACTTTACATTTTGGTGTCTAAAATTATTTTTTATATGAAAGAACTCATTCATAATTTACGTTTTGGTACTTGAAATTGTTCATTAGGACATTTTAGTCCCGAAACTTTTCAAAAGTTTATATATTGATCCAAGAATTGGATGTCATTTGGATCCGTGAATCAATCCACCAATGCATTTGTCACTTCTACCTCTAATACATAAAGCAAACAATATAGTATAGTATAGATAAAATCTATGATGAATCCAAATCCACGCCAAATACACCGTTGTTAGCACATATTAAACAAAGGGTAGGATGATGGGGGCATCCCAAAAAAAAGTTCTTCCCCAACAAAGGGCGCAGAACAAAGGCGAAACGAAATGATTGCTTGAATGGAGCAGAGGCCCCAGCACAGGCAGTATATTTGATTAGAGATGGCAATGGATCGGGTTGAACGGGTTTTGCGAAACCCAAATCCATGGGTTTATCCGTCAAAAAAAACCTGGGGGCAAAATCCGCTGGGTTTGAAAAACTCAAACCCAGCCCAACCCGCTGGGGATCCGCGGGTTCATGGGTACCCGTGGATTTTTGCGGTAAAAAATTTACAATAACAAGTTTCTTCCAAATAAAAGTCTAACATCAATTTTCTCATAAAAATTGTTCATACAAAAAAACACCAATCTAGAGCATACAAGCAAACCGCAAATTATCAATACAAATTATTCAAAATTAAAGATAAACATTATAAACAACATGATTAATTGACAGCTCCGTCCTCCTTGTCAACTAAGCTTTTTCACTCTCCACTCCATAATATCAACTTCATCTCCACTCCATAATATCAACTTCATCGTACACAATTAGAAAGAACAAATTAGACATGCCTCCACAAACGTAAAAAAGATTAGTTGTTTAAGGAAGATATATTGTTTAGAATGTTAAATATACCGAAAAATTAATTATATGAGTGTGGGCGGGTACCCATGGGGCGAGTTTGCCTAAATCCAAACCCAACCCAACCCGGTGATGGTGTAGCGGGTTTAAACTCGAACCCAGCCCAAAACCCATCAACACAGTTTTATCCGCATTGACCAGGTTGTGTCGGATAGGATACCCATGGGTTCAGGTTTTGTTGCCCATCCCTATATTTAGATCTCTGTTAATCCCCAGCTTTATTGCCAAGTATAATTCATATTTAGTTTTTTTTTTTGGTGACTCGAAAAAATTGGACAGAAGAAAGAAAGAATAGGCCCTATAGTCCAAGGAAAGCTGGGCCACCATTGTCTTTACGGATTGAATGATAAAAAGAGCAGCTCACGTGGAGTTTGAACTCTGAACCAAAGGCCCTCTGCTCTCTGTCCAGTCCAGTCCACCCACAAACCCCACTCCCTTATTTAGTAGTCCCTACCCTGCCCCTGCCCCTGCCCCTGCCTTCCAGCGACAGCGATCCCTCTTTCTTCTATATTTTCTTCCTCTCCTTCTACTTCCATTTTTCATTTCAGTGTACATAAAGTTTTAACCCCTTTCATCCTCTTTGCTTCATGCATGCATGTAATTTTCTTACCGAAATGTAAGAGCCTTTACTCGATGTATCTCTCATTCATCTGTAACTTTTTCGTAAACTGATTTGTGGGAAAAGCATGGTGGTCATCTTGTTTACGTACATAATTTGGATGGTGGAAAACTCTAAAGTTGTGGTCTCTATATATGAACCATTTTCTATGATATGGGCTCCTAGTCATCGTGTCGGAGCTTTGTCAGCAACCCGAAAGTTACTATGTGGCTCATTCGTCATTTTCTTATCTACAGGCCAAAATATGTGTTGAAATTCTCACATTTCAAATTTCGTGGACTAAGAGTGATTCTAGGAAGGTCATTTTTGTTCATTGCACCCAGTTCATGTTTATATATTAAAAATGTTATCATTGGAGTTTGAACCTTGGTCACTTGAATGAAGAAACAACATTAGAATCAAGTAGGCTACATTATATTTATTGATTATTTTTTTTATTGAACTCTAGGAATAGGAATTTTACAATGCTATATAGCATTGGTGCTATAGGTTTTTGCCTTTGTGGTAGAACTTTAAAATTGTACATTTACGTTATGGTACAACTTCAGATTGTACCTGTACTTTTTGTACAAATTCTTTTATGGTACAATTTGAACTTAGTACCTTTATGTGATGGTACAACTTCAAGTTGTAAAGTTGTACAATAACATAAGGGTACAAATTGCTTTATGGTACAACTTAAACTTATATATTTAATGTTATGGTACAACTTTAAGTTGTACATTAAAGCACAAATACTATATAGCATAATAGAAGTGCTCCTCTAGGAATATGTTGATGATGATGCTTCTATATTTCTATTTTATCTTAAGTTATTTATATTTTGTAGAAAGACATTAGTTCTGAAATCGGGGACTCAAGTAGTATTGATTCAAACATTAATATTAAATTGTATGTGTTGTTTAGTTCAGACAAAATACAGAAGTGTAACCAAAACATGGACCTTTGTGACGAGTATAATCATTGTTGAGGTGATGGATTCTTCTATTGAATTATAAGAAATTTTCAAAGGTAGTAGCCCCTGTTTATGTCTCCACATGACAGAGGGAAACTTGATTGTGACGCTCTCCAAGCTTGATCCCTTTCGTGTGGCCGTCTATGTGTGGGAAGAATTGTGACTCATCTTGAGTGAGGGTGAAGCTCAGATGGTGGACTGATGGCCATGAACTGTGACAGAGGCAAAGTCTTTACATTTTGAAGAAGCGCGAAGGGTTTTTAGGAGGAGTTCAACGATGTTGGTGGAGGATTAGCAATTTTAGGGCTTTTTTATTTTTTTATTTTTATTGATTAATAAGGAAGACTTCTAGTAATATTACTTTTTAAGTTAGAGTGAGAATATTAAAATTAGCGGTCCACATCTATCTACAAAATATATAAAGGCAAAACATGGGTTGGAATTCTCCCATTTCAAATTTCATGCCCTAAGAGTGATTCTAGAAATGTCATTTTTGTCATTGCACCCAGTTCATGTATATATATTAAAAATATTATCATTAGAGTTTAAACCTTGGTCACTTGAATGAAGAAAGAGTATTATAACTAACTAGGCTTACATTTTATTTATTGTTATTTTTTTTATTGAACTTTAGGAATATGTTTGGTGATGATGCTTCTATATTTATATTTTATCTTAAGTTATTTATATTTTATAGAAAGATATTAGTTCTGAAATCAAAACTCAAGTAGTATTGATTCAAATATTAATATTAAATAGTATGTGTTGTTTGTTTAGACAAAATATAGAAGTGTAACCAAAACATGAACTTTTGTGACGAGTGCAATCATTGTTGAGCTAATGGATTCTTCCATTGAATGATAAGAAACTTTTAAAGGTAGTAGCCCCTGTTTATGTCTCCGCACGACAGAGGGAAACTTGATTGCGACGCTCTTTCAAATTTACAAACAAGTCCACTACTTGTGGCATGCTTTGTGTACTTGTGGCATGCTTGAGGAGGTTGTGGCATGCTTTTGAGGTTGTAGCATGCTTTAAGGTTTTAGGAATGGTTTGATCCATTTAACTGTGTTTCCTTTTCCTTTCGATGCTCTCCTGCATCTCGCTTCGTTTTGGCTTTCGACTCTTACAAGCGGTTCAATCCTTTTGAGCATTTAGCCTTGTACTTGCTGCTCTGTTTTCCTTTTGATTTCGTAATAAATTTTCACCATTATAAAAAAAAAAGGTTTTAAGCATGCTTGGAGGAGGTTGTGGCATGGTTCCTGGTCCATCTTTCTTCTTTCCTCCCCTTCCCCAATTTGTCATAATACCAAGAGTGTCCCTCCTTTCACCTTCTCCCTTATTAATTATGGTCAATTCATTTAAATGGAAAAGTCATCCAAACAAAATGTTCTGATTGGCTACAAACTAGTGTTAGCACCATACTAACAAAAAAGTGTTAGCATCCCTAGCCCCTCCCCTTTAATATGTGAACATTGTATAATAAGTGGAGTTCGTAAGCGAAAGCGTAAAATATTACTAAATCTCGCTGTGCTGACTGGGTCATCAAACTCGTTTACTTTCGTCTAAACCGGTAATGATAGAGAAAAACTATAAAACACCATGTCAGTCACCGCTGCGATGATGACCACCTCCACCTCCACCACTTTCAGCAGCAACACCACCGCCCCACCTTCCCCTTCCAGCTCCTCGACAAGAAAGCAGACGAGCCTTGCTCTTCCTCCTCCGCCTACCCTTCTCTCCTCGACCACCTCCCTTCCACCAGCGCCGCCAGCCTGCAGATAGCTCCCGCGGCAGACCCTCAGCAGCAGACGGCGACTAAGAAGCCGCCACCGAAGCGGACCTCCACCAAGGACCGACACACCAAAGTAGACGGGCGCTGACCCGCGAGCTGGGCCACAAGTCCGACGGCGAGACCATCGAGTGGCTTCTCCAGCAAGCCGAGCCAGCTGTCATCGCCGCCACGGGGACGGGAACCATCCCAGCCAACTTCACTAACCTCAACATCTCCCTCCGCAGCTCCGGCTCCACCCTCTCCGTCCCCTCCCAGCTCAGATCCGCCGCCACCGCCGCAGCTGGCCTCGGCTTCAACCCTAACTTCTCTAACCGGCAAAATTCATCAATCATATGGTTGGTGTCCTCTGTCTTTTTCTTTATTTCTTTCATGGTATCTATCCATTGGTGGGGATGGTGAGAGTTTTGGTATGAATAAAATTCAAACGGAGAGAGATGCAAAGTGACAGAGGGGACTAACGAGGAGGAAGATCACTGACGAATTCATCATTTTACATGTATAATTAAAATATTAACTGTCACTACTGTGATTATTACGTTAGCATGCATGATTCATGCTCCATTTCCCTTCACTACCATTAACTACTTTTTATTTTCCACCACTACTTTCAACTAATTCTTTATTTATTTGAAAATATAAAATTTCAAGTTGATTGACCCTTTTATGAGTGAGATGATAATGATTAATTAGTGAGATGATCAAAATCCTTAATTCAGTCTATCAATCCAATTATGAGTGAGATGATAATGAGGAAAACTTAGGCCATTGTGGTGTTGAAAATCTAAATTCATAGTAAATGTATTTTTTATTGGAAAGGGAATTTTTTATTGTGAATAAAAAAATAGACGCTAATTTTATGGGGAAAAAATAAAAGGAGAGATTTAAGGGATAATTAATAGGAGACAATTTGGTTTCTTTGTCATTCTGATATCATTGAGAAATTAAATGGTAAATACACTTGTATAGTCATAACTTTTACGTTTGTAACTAATACAATCATAATTATTCGAAAACACAAAATAGCTCAAAAAATTGAAAGTTGTGTAACAAATCTAGCCAAATTCGTTATAAATTTTAACGGTGTCTGTGACTCTGTTAAATGATTTGACGAAACGCTGACAAGGATGGAATCTGTCCTCCACATCAGCTACACATCAGCATACTGTAAACGTGGATTGCCATGTCAGCAACTAATTTGAAAATAAAAAAAATTCCCTTTTATATCTGTCAACCTCCCTTCCTCCTTGTACCCGAAAATCCCCAACTCACCATTTAGGAATCTGAGAGACGCCACCGCCGCTAGAGACGACGTTGTCGCTGTAGACCATGCCACCGATTGAAGGCTTCTTGCCACCGGCGGTACTCATTTCCTCCCTGCTCGCGCCTCCGTCGTTCCGAATTCCCCTTCATCTTTCTTGATTTGTAGCGATGTCACAACAGAGTTCTTCATCTGCGACAAACATTAGCAGTGGTGGGACAGTCCTTTGCAAGCAGAACGTTCCCGCCGTGATCAAGACGTCTGGTACCGAGACGAACCCAGGAAGGCAATTCTACGAATGTCCTTTTTGTAAGCAGGTAACTGATAGATTATTTCTCGAGGCATTTAAGATTCTTTGACTGTTTGATTTTCTAACTAAACTATATTCATGGTGCATACTGAAAAGTCGAGGGAAAAAAATTGTCGTTTTTTTAGGTGGGTGAAGGTTGTTGGTGATGAAATGGAGGACCGACAGAATGGTAAGGAGAGCTTAATATGCCAACTTGAAGATAGTTTGTGCCTTGCTGAGTCCAAGGCAGAGAGGAGGAAGAAGAAGGAAAAGAGATTATATGAAGAGATGATGGTGTGGATGAAGGATCATGAGACTATGTTAGCCCAAGGAAGGAGATTGAATGCTTATGTTTGATTTATTTGAATTATATTAGCCATTCTTCTTGTTGTAAATGCCTCTTTCATTTTTGTTTTGTGGTGGTACCAATCTGGTATGTAGAGGTAGTCATGTTGCAGTATGTGGGGTTATGCTACTACTTGAAAAACAACTAGAACTTATTTAATGCAATGCACGTTGTGTTTCCTGCCAAATGGCTCTTCAAGTGTTAGTACACAGAAAATACCGAGATCAACACTTAACCATTCTGAGTAAATGAGCAGCTAAAAGATGGCAATCTAAACACCAAATCTTAAACAAACAAATGTGCATACATGGTTCTATTTGTTCCTTACACAACAAAGATAAAATTCAAACAAGCTATCAAAGTCGATTGCAAGACAACCTAAAATAGTACCCCCAGTACAAGACACGAGTCGATTTCCAATTATCCTAAGTGGAAGTTCACTACATGGGGTTGACAAAATGCTGATCGACCATGGTCTGAAACACCTAAGGTTGAGTGACTGGTGGCTGGCTTCCCTGGACTTCCACAATAGTTGGCTGGCTATCACGTATAGGACGCCCACTTGCTCCATTAAGCTGGAAAAACAAAGCATTAGCAACAAAATAAACTTAAGAAAACAAAGCATTATCATCAAACTAACCCTAACATATTGGTTTCCAGTCCTCTCGTTTACATATACTCTCACCCCTACTATTGCAACTCGCAACTCCTGTTGAATAGTTCTTCCATCACCAATATTCAGCCTAATTTCCTATAGAATACCACGTTATAGTTCAACATTCAACATATACAGAACAACATGTTTTAATAACCCTAGCTTCAATAAGTGATATTGTTTACATATATATGAATTCTAGCTCCTTGATTAAGGGGACAAGTTCGAGCATTGTGTGTACTCGAACCACAATTTGAGCAACGAAGAACCCTTGGCCTTTTATCAGTGTTTGCCCCAGGTTGATCTACAGCAGGTTCAATTCTAGATCTAGAAGTACTTCCTCTAGGTCTAGAGGTGCTTCTCTGTCAACTCAAGTAAGTAGTTAGTTCCAGCTTTAGTAATAGTGTAATAAGCAACTTTAATGAATAACAATGAATGAAAAGAAAGGAAGTTTCACCAGTGCTTGGGCAACACTGGGATTTTTACATCCTCTTGCATTGTGGCCCTCTCCACCACACTTAGAACAATGAATTATAGTGCCCCTTGTTGGCACTTCTTCAACTACCCCAGTTGCTTGAGGTTGAAACTCAAACTCGTGAGCAACCTTTCTTCTAATTTTCTTTGGCCTTCTTGACATTCTTCTTTCCTTTGGAGGGAGTACTTGGAAACCTACTCCTTCAGGCCACGATTGTCTTCCATCCAAACAAGGGATGCCAACCTTGTATGCATTGTCTGACACGCTAAAACACAACACCCAAACTGCGACCAAGCGTAATCGCAGTCCGGAAATGCAGTAACAGGCAAGCTATATTTCTCAACCCGGGGCCTAGATCTACTGCCTACTCCGTGAATATCTATTATCTAGCAAACTAAATCGATTGATTGTGATTTTTAACTAAAAGCAGTAAGAAAGCAGGAAATGGTTCGGTTTTCTAAAGCAAGGGAAGCGTCACTCGAGAATGAGTCCCCCTAGCTCCTTAGTTAGGTCACAGTTGTAATTACCCTGGGTTGATTAACTGTTGATTAAACTGCGGAAGATCCGACAGTAGCTTGGAATCTCTTAAGCTGACCAAGCCCTCTCAGTCCAACTACCCGGCAGACGACTAGTCTTCACCGGGATAGAAAGCTGAGGCTATGAACGCAGAACTCCACTACGGGAATTGGATTCCAGTACAAAGCAGTAAATTGATTAACTCTCGTATAATCAATCTACCACTATCGATTGATGAAGCTCTAACAACCTAATCAGATACTATCTATCTCAGGTTGTAGCATAAATCAAGAAAAGATGATCAGACTTCAATTGACTCAATGAATCATGCATCAATCGATTAAAATCAAACAGTATAACAATCCCAAGTCATTACAATCAAGATCCCTAACACATGGAACTAGGGTTCTTCATACCCAAGTGAGAGAAAGTTCTACTCTATAGAGAGAGAGAGAGAGAGAGAGAGAGAGAAGAGAGAGGAAAACAAAAATCAGAATAGTCATACTCATAAAGATGAGGATAATCTGCTCTGGGATGATGATCTTCACTCCTTGGAATGCAATCTGGGCTTCAATGGTGAGAAATCCACTCCAAATAGCTCCTAGGGTTTGTTCTTCGCACGTTCTCTCTCTAAAACTCTGTTTTTTGCTCCAAAAAGTCGATTCGCTCTCCTTTGGCTCGAATCTGCCTCAAAAACCCGATTCTGGGTGAAATACGGGCTGAATTATGGTCATAATCATGGTCTGCTCGTAATTCACCCAAAACGCGAGTTTCACTAAACTCTGAGGAAGGTAATTACGATCGTAATTACCCAATTACTACTAGTATTTAAGTAATTACGACCGTAAATGAGTCCACTCTTGCCCGTAATTTGCTCTGCGACAGGAATTCTCAGGGATTTAGGCTCGGCATTGCATTTACGGGCATGACAAAAGCAATTACGGCCGTAATTGGGCAGGGGCTGCCAGTAATTCTTCCTCTGCCCCTGTTTAATGCTTCGTTTCTCCCTCGTCCGGACTCCGAATCAGTCGTCGTTTGATCCCAGACGCTCGTAGTCTTGTCCTCTTTCTTTTCATGAGAAAATTCTATGATTATTTTTCCATAATATGAGGTATAAGTCCATTATTCCTCAGGTCATACTCGTGTTTCTCTTCCCGAATTGCCAAATGATCTCCGATTGACTTGAAACTTGCTCCTATGCTTCAATTTACATGCTATGACCTGAAATGTGACAAAGGAACACAACCTAGCGTAAAATAGTCCAAGAAAGCAAAAACTCAAGCCAAAATGATCAAGAAACGAGGGTGCAAAGATGTGCAAATACGATGTTATCAAATTCCCCCACACTTAACCGTTTGCTTGTCCCCAAGCAAACCAAGTCAGATACAAGGTAAGCTCAAAACATCTTAATCATGAAACCCTTGAGGACATATCATATAGGCACGAAACACGGGAATCATACTGGCTTTTAGAAATCAACACATGAACAACTTCAACAGCAAACTGGACGACCACCACAGAGGACATTCGAGTGCAGCAAAATCGGGTAAAGGAAAAGTCTCCCTTCTGTTCACCAACCAACCTAGACTTGACTCAACCACTTATTCAAGACAGTCAGCTCATGCATAAAACTCAAGACATCATAATCAAGACCGAGCCATCTAGGTCCTCACCGGGGTAAAGTGTGTAAAGAACAAGGAAATGAATCGCTCACTCTCGACCAGTGAGGTCAGGACAATTTGATGCGAAAAATGCGCATACTTATTCTCTCAATCCCTAACGTCTCTTCACCATGACGGCAGCCTCTAAATGTTAGAGTTCACATAAATGGGTGTCATCACTAACTAATCCGGAGGTCTT